TGCCCAGAGAGATGGCTCTGCATGCTACTTCTGGCACGCGTGCCATGCATTCATGTTGTGACTCGGAGGTTTGAGCCTGCTCTGTTAGAGGACACAGACTTGGATAATGAGGAAGAGGAGGATTTGGCTCTGAGGTTTGAGCCTGCTTTGTTAGAGGATTTGGAATTGCCTTCCTCCCCAGGACTTTCCTCTTCGGCAAGACCTTCCTCCCTGGTTGTGCCTCAGGTGTCGGCAGATAACCAGGAGGGCGTTTCAGAGCCTCTGGCTGAGGAATGTTGGTTTGATGCGAGGCAAAGACGCAGGCAAAAGCGTGAGATGCAACACAGAAAGAAAGGACAAATGAGAGACTGACACGCCCCACAGGGAATAAAAGTGGGTGTGTTAGCTCTGGGTTCTTGTTCGGGACAACGTGTTAATTTGTGAGAGAAGCTTCGAAAGATTCTGTGTGTGGCGATAGCCTGTGATTTATGTTCTTGCTTTATTATTGGACTTGGCAGACAGTTTGTGTGAGTCTGCCAAGAACTTTCCTGGCTCAAGGAATTTAACCCTGTCATTACTGGACTTGTCTGCTTGTTTATATTCCTTTGGAAACTTGGACTTCTCACCTCGTTGGCACAGGTGAGACATAACACATTCACCATCACGGGACTAGGGGAAACATGATAGCAGTCTTGGAATATTTAAGGGGCTGCCCCCAAAAAAGAAGGAGTCAAGCTATTCTCCAAAGCACCTGAGGGTAGAACAAGAAGCAATGGGTGGAAACCCACCAAGGAGAGAAGCAACCTAGGACTAAGGAGAAATTTCCTAACGGTGAGGACTATTAACCAGTGGAACTGCTTGCTTCTAGATGTTGTTGGTGCTCCATCACTGGAGGTTTTAAAGAAGAGATGGGACAAACCATTGGTCTGAAATGGTCTAGGCGAACCTATTGCACGCATGCCCGAAGTGACAAGCAGAGCCATCTCTGCCGGCACACCAGCCGTCGCCCCAGCTCAATCCCACTGCGTAATGCACGCACGCCTCCTGCCAGCCAGCTGATTGTTGGGTGTCTGCCACGCATGCATGGGGGTGGGGCGCATGTGGGAGACACATATGCGGGGGAGCACAGAGCGGGGTGCGCACATGTGCCGGGGAGGGGTCGCGCATGCACTGCACTTTCAGCATGCAACGACAAAAGGTTAGCTTATCACTGGCATAGGGTTTTCTGCTTGGGCAGGGGGTTGGACTAGAAGACCTCCAAGGTCCCTTCCGATTCTGTTATTCCTCCCCTTCTCCTCCAGCCCCTTCTAGCCCTGATGATGTTCCCTAGTTGGTGTCAACTTAAAAAAAAAAATACTCCTTTGGTCGTTTGAGTTGCCAGCACAAAGGGAGTGGGGGAAAGCAGTGCATTCCTTAAATGCCTCAGATAATTGCTAGGCAGCCGAAGCTGTTGGAGTGCAAGATTATTACTGGAGAGCATGATTGATGCCTCTTGGCTATGGATGCGTCCCATTGGAGAATATACATCCAGGGTCAAAGGGGGAAATGAATGGTGTATTTTTAATGTCGGCTGCACCCAGCTAATGCCAACATGGCCATTCCTAATAAAGCAATTTTTTTTTTTACTCTAAGAGATGCGGCTAGAGACTTATGATTTGAATGGGGGTGGATTTGTTGGAGCCCTGACAAAATTATTATAAATATCAAACCTGCTGTCAAGTAAAAAGATATTCCTTTGGTCTTTTTAGCTGCCAGAAAAAGGGAGTGGGGGAAAACAAGGCATTCCTTACGTGCCTAGATAATCGCCTTGGCAGCCCAAAGTTGTTGGAGCGCCAGAATATTACTGGAGAGCACAATTGATGACTCTTGGCTATGGATGTGTCCCATTGGAGAATTATACATCCAGGGGGTGGGGGGAAGACCAGGGGGAAAGGGGGAAATGATGTATTTTAGTGTCGCCGGCACCCAGCTAACACCAACATGGCCACTTCTAATCAATTTTATTTTCTCTGAGAGATGCGGCTAGAGACTTATGATTTGAATGGGGGGGTGGATTTGTTGGAGCCCTGACAGTTGGCTCACGCAACGTCTGCAAGAAACCTCAGAGAGCACCAAGGACCCCTCCATTCAACCCTGACCTATTCTCTTCTATTCTTTCAAGAAAAAAACAAAAATTTTAAATGTCTCTTTTCTTTTCTCCTTCCATCCCCCTTTTTTCCCCCTCTGCCCCGCCCTTCCCTCCCTTTCCGCTGCTGCGCACTCAGGACGCTGACCCAAACAACATGGCCTACGCAGACCTAAACTTTGACAAGGTGGCCCAGAAGAGACCCTGTCCAAGGGTGGAAAGCCCCCTGCAGTCGGAGTACGCCACCCTGCAGGCAGTGCAACCCTTGCCCAACGAGGACAACGTCACCTACGCGGACTTGGATATGGTGCAGCTGAACAAAGCCCCCAAGCGGCCGTCCCCGAAGGCCGAGGAAGCGAGTTCGGAGTACGCCAGCGTCCAGGTGCAGAATAAGTGATTCTCCGGAAGAGGAGGAGGAGGAGGAGGAGGTGGCTGCTTAAAGGGGGGCTCGAAAGGACCTCTGACCAGTGAGTTGGGGGGAAAATCTTCTGCTAGGGCTTGGACTCTCGGTGTCGTGCTCCTCCCAGGTCCCGGAGGAGGTTCCTTGCAAACTGTTTGGTGCTACTCACAGCTGCATCCTGGTTTTGTTTATTTGTGAGCTTCTTCCTCCCCTGCTCGCCAAGCGGACGGGAAGACGTCACGTCGGATCTAACATGGCTTTTTTCTCACCCGAGCACCTCCACGCCCTTCCTCGTAACTTCGTCAACACGCCGCCGAGGACGGTGAGCAAGACTACGAGCGGCCTGGGGATGCAGGCCCGGTTGCCGCGTCCGGCTCTTCCTGAGGGAAGCCCTTCTCGTTGGCCTTGGAGATCACCCAAGCAGCTGAGATGCCACCTTGAGGTTATTCCTTCCTCCCGTCGGGGGACCCTGCTCACCCCTAAAACTAAAATAAGCCAACCTTTTGGATTGGGCACTGCCCCCTTCCGAGGTCTTTGACTAGACTTCAGGAGAAGGGGAGGAGGAGGAAGATTCCTTCCCAAGTGCTTCTGGGCACAAGACGCCTCCATGTTTGGCCAAGATGGTGTCTCTTTCATTTTGCTTTACTCTAACCCCGCAGATACTTCCTCGGTTTCTCCTTTGACGAGACGTGCCTCTTTAGCTTAGTTAGCTTCAGTTGGGCTTTTGCTGGCAAGGCCACAATCCGTAGAAAAACCTTCTCAAGTGTCACTCTCCCTTCTTCTTCTTCTTCTTCTTCTTCTTCTTCTTCTTCT